TTTTGTAGAGCTTAGAAAAGAAATAATTTAGTATATTGAAGCATTGTTGTATGTCTAGTGGTTACGGAGAATATTAAAATACCCCCGCCGCAGCAAACCTGCAGACTAAGCGAATTTCCATTAACCTAATTGGATTAACACTAAAATGCCTCCATAAAAATAGCACATTTATCACCTATTTAAATAGAATTAGTTTAACGAGTACTTAGGTTTGCTGCAACAGGGAGGGTAAAAACGATTTTTTTTATAAAATGATAATAGTTTAGTAAGAAATAAAAGTATTTTCCAAAATCGATCAAAATATGTTCATAAACAAGCAAACTACAAAAGTTGACTTATTCTCCATAAGAATAACATGGGAATTTTAAAATTACAATTTTTTTGAATTTTCTCCGTAACAATTAGGCGCATAATAACGCTTCAATATACTAAATTATTTGTTTTTTTAAGCTCTACAAAATGGTTTTAAAAGAAATTGTGAAATTATATGTTTTTAGGGTCAAAAATGGGAAAAAACCTATTTTTACCCCATAAAACCCCCCATAAACCCCCGTTCCCATAGTCCGATCATGCTGGTTCGCGAACTCATTCAAGTTTATCCCGCCTTACACCTTCAAACCAAATTTTATCAAAATCGGACAAAAATTACTCAAGTTATCGTGCGTATGGACACACACATATATATATATAGATATATAAAAATTTGAACGAATGGTATTTTTGGCCTCTGGGGACATCAAAATGAAAAAGTAAATCGGTCCCGGGCTTAGGTCTTACCATGAGACCTACGGTAATAGCTGAGTGAAAATTTAAAAACGTACGTTTTCAGGAAAAGCACTTTGCAAATTTTTTCCCCCTTTTTTCAAAACTTTTATTATTTTTTTTATTTCATTAACATTTGAAGTTTCATAAAATGTCCATGGTAACGCAATATGTTTGGTAGTTTCTTTTTAAAAGAGCATCTTTAGTGGAAAAACACAAAATCCTGTCACGACCATAACGGACGTTTAAATGAATATTAAAAATAGTTAATATTATTTTTATAACTATGTTTTGCTATAAACTAATTTACTTTTATGACCATTAAACAATAAAAAGGTCACTGAGCTTTTGGTATATTTGGTCTTTCTAGAAAAAAAATAAAAACTCAAAAAATTGAAAAAAAGCCAATAAAATCTTTTTAAGTTTGTATAACTCCGAAAAAACTTACCCGAGACCCAAAAAATCGTCATGTTTGTATAGAGGTGTGCTTCTTTTGTGTATAAAACATTGAAATATGACGATATTTTAATTTTTGAAATTTTTATGATAGAAATCATAAACGTGATGGTCAGGGACAAGCGGTACGGTCGTGAATTGTCTGGAATAATCTAAATCTTTCTAAACAATCCTTCAATTAACCTGTTAGTTATAATAAAACTATGTGTTTCAATTGCACTAAACTGTTTAATTTACAATTATATTAAGGTTATTGTCACGACCAAACACTCTATAATCCATAAGGCTGGATTGGTCGTGAAAAAACCCGCGATGGTCGTGAAACTTTGGTCGTGAAATTACGAGTTATTTGGCTCTGTTCTGGTGGTAGCCCTGCACCTCATGTTCGAGGATACAAAGTGGACTTCTAGGTTAATCTAGCAATTGAAATATCTTATAAACAAAAATTAACACCATGTCTACTTCATCGAATGACTACGTACGGTCATGGACACGCCAAAATTACAAAAAAAAAACAATCTTTCCTTTATTAATCTTGTAATTCCTCCTTTCAACTCGAAACGACCGCCACTACAATCCTGACGTACACCCCGAACTAGTCTCTAAAACCAACTGACTCCATCGACGCCAGGCTTGCCACTGTCGTGCTCCAAAGTTGAAAATTTTTCCCAAATGGTCGTGACGCCAAATCGAGGGACAGACTTATTTTGTCATGGTAGTCAGTTTGTAATGACAATAAAATTATAATATGCTCCTTTTTTGTAAGTTTAATAACCATTGATGACATAAAAATATGGCTTTATATATTTTGGCATGAATAATTAGTCTAAAAACAGCGTGAAAGTTGGAAAATGTACCCTAGGGACACGAATTTTAGGATAATTTTAGGATTCGAAACGTGATTTGAGCCACTAACATTAATGTAGACAATAAGTGGCGAGGTAGGAAATATATATATATTTTTAGACAGCCTACTGGGTAGCGTGTTGGGGCCGCGGTAGGCCAATGCACCTAACCCAGGGATAATGTGATACGTGATCAAGCAGGTGCTCCTTCGGACCCGGTAGGGGTCCAAGACCCTCTGATAGACGTGGGGATGTACAACCGTGAAGTGGGAATATTTTATTTGGTTTTTAAATTATAAGTTTAGTGAACAAAGCGGGGCTAAGACGTTGTGTAGTGTAAACAGGAATTAAGTGACATGTCAATTTGTTTTGTCCATGTAGGGCGTGTTCATTATATACGTTCATTATATAAAAAAAATGAATAAATTAATTTTTCTATAGATAAATTGCATTATCCATAGAATAAACGTTAGTTTTGCAAAAGGTTGAGTTTCTAATGGGCCGAGGGAAATGTCACGATTTTGCTTGCAATGTTTTTTCGAGATGGGGGAAGTATTTTCTTTTGCCCCTGCTTTTGACAGGGCTTTACCTTAATCCGTGCAACAATTGTGATTGAGACGTGGCTAATCCCTCGCCAGAGGAAGCTGGCGTGAAAAATTGGAGGAACCCTTGATTGGTTAAAAATAAACGGTCAAGCTGATGTTATTAAAAGGAATTAATTCTTATTATTTTGATAAACTGGTTAAAAGTTTGTGATAATTATATGTAAATTTATTCATATAGATGTGCACTGGATAATTGTTTTTGTTTGTTATACAGAACAGTTTTATATAGGAGTGTAAGTCAGGCCTTGCTGTTCTTGTTGACTGGGACACATGGAAACTCCTTGCTGCGGATTGCTGGTGGAGCAGTAGCTCGACACTGTCCCTGCCGATGGATCTGGTTTGATTAGTGTATAAGTCAGTAAAATAACCCAAATTAGTACCTGTAATTGGCCCTGAACTGAGTTGGGGTTGTCAAATTATGCTCGCTTTAGCCTAGTTGCAAAAGTATATATAAAAAAAAAATGTAACTTGCGGGGGAAAATTATTTCGAAAATGTGAAAAATGATGAAGCAGTTAGGAAAATTTTATTTTGAAAGGAAGTATATCAAGTATATTTCTGGTGTAGTTTTGGCTGACCGTGGGTTAGTGGATTGGCGCATAGCCTGAAAAAATTTGTGCATTGGAGGATGCCCCATTCGGATATGGGCATCGTTTAATGGTGAGTGGTCAGCGAGGTAGAGGTGTGGTCTGAGCCTTAGGCCCTGTACACATGAGGGCGGCAGCCGCCGCGGTTGCCATTGCGCGGGAACCGCGGCGGTTGAAAGTACAAAGGAGCAAATGGGACCGTTCACATGCAACCGCCCACTTCCAATCAACCGCAACAAACCGCGGCGGTCGTAGATTTCCCTTCGACCGCCGCGGCTCCCGTGCGGTTGAAGTTACTAGAGTTGGCATGAGAGCATACACATGAGGGCGGTAGCCGCCGCGGTTGACTGCAGTTGCTACTATAGGATCACAGACATCTGCGCGCTTGCCCTGTGGACATCGTTCTCTGTGTTGGTGAAGATAGTGTGTAGTTGTGGCTGGAGTTGATGTAGTGCTCGTTGTGTAAGTTTACAATGGCCATGCGTGGTGCTGTGGAACCAGAAAACTTTGACACTGAACTGTTCAGTAAAGAAATACAAAATTAAGTTACGTTTAGGACATAAACTAAAAAAGATTTCGTGGCAAGAGTAAGTTGAGTTTTTTGCTTAAAAGAATTATCAAGCGTTACGCGTTTAAAAGAAAAATAATTGGGTAAATACAGTACTGGCTGTCGAGCGACGGTCAATTCACACCGCAACCGCAGCGTAACCGCGGCTCCAACCGCTGCCATGTGTACGGTCCTAGGCGGCCGCCGCTGCGGCCACCGCGGCGGCTGCCGCCCTCATGTGTACAGGGCCTTAGGTGTTTGACCACGTTTGGGATTGCCTTGTTTGCCGCGCTGTATTACATTAGGCACGGCAACATGCTAAATTCCCTGTGGACTAGGTCCAGGTGTCGTGTAAGTGTTGTGTTTTTTTTGGGTGGGGGACCGTTTATTAAGTCGAAGTCACAAAGTAAGCATGAGCTCCATTAAAGACTCTGCAAATTTGTACTGTTGAGTTAGGCCTGTTCATTGGCAGCAATTAACTCGTGTGGGACCCTGAGAGTCCTGGTACGGATGGTGTTTTTTTATAAATGTTGGCGAGAAATCTTTCTGCCGGTGGTCCCCCTGTAACTCAGGTGTAAGAGTGTTTTTGCTCGTACCTGCGTACGCTTGCCTAGCCTAACTTGCTAGCAGCTACCAGTTGTACTTGAGCGTGGAGGGGAGTGGAAAGAGAGCGTCCCCTGAGCCTAATGTGTTTAGTGCTGTGAGTGTAAGAGTGTTTTTGCTCGTACCTGCGTACGCTTGCCTGGCCTAACTTGCTAGCAGCTACCAGTTGTACTTGAGCGTGGAGGGGAGTGATAAGAGAGCGTCCCTTGAGCCTAATGTGTTTAGTGCTGTGAATGTGAGAGTAATCTTGCTCGTACCTGCGTACGCCTGCCTGGCCTAACTTGCTGGCAGCTGCCAGTTGTACTTGAGCTGTAGGGGAGAGTGGTGAGAGCTTCCCCTGGAGAAAGTGACACGTGTCATGTTGATGTGAATTGCGAGATCTCAAGTCAGAACCATGGGTAGTTTGGTTACTGACAGTTGTAGAATGCCTGCCTGATTTATCAGCAGCGTTCTCTGGTGAATTCGAGCGTGGAATTAGTGACGATTGTTGTCTGTCTTCTGTTAGGGCACGGTCGCCTTTAACTGGCCGTGGTTAGGGTGGAGAGAACGAGTACGTGACCTGCTCCATGACGGCCTGGAGGGTAGCGAGCTGCAACCATGGCCTACGCAGACAGGGCCACTACTCATGTGAGGGGGCTGACAACAACGGAAACGTCTGGTGGAGACCAGGAGGTTCCAGTGGCAGGTTTCAACTATAAACCAGTCACGAGTCACTGTTGGAGTGAATAGAGTCACTGTTGGAGTGAATAGCGCTATTGAGGATAGACTGAGGTGATCACCGAACCCTGAAGGTAAATGGTACCATGTTTCGAACGAGCTCGACATCAAGTTATCGGTAAACGTGGCGGGAAGACTTTTATACGGAAAGCAAGACACTAAAACGGAATGGTGCGCCTGCAGGAGCGTGAATTCGTGGAAGAAGTTTCAGGGCCATGAAGTAATTCGGTGTAACAAATTTGAAAACTTGTCTAACGCTAGTATGTTACTTATTGACAGGAGATCTCCTATGGACAACTTTACTTAGGTTGATCTAGGTAGTTGATAAGTGTTGTGACTGTCGATTTGTTCTTATGTTATTATGCTATCGGTTATGTGTGGTGGTTATTTTTGTTAGGTCATTGGGTGTTTCAATGACGAAGGACCTAGGCGGTTGTAGGGTTATCGCGGAATACTAGGCTCCTATATTGTTTGTTGAAAAGAGTGCTCAACTTTTAGGTAAAAAAAAAAAAAAAAAAAATCTTTAGTTCTTGACCCGTGCGTCTGGTATTTAATTAAATACCTGAAATTAATGGATATTTCCACCTGTAGAGCTGGAATGGAGGAACTACGAGAAGGTTCAAACAGCGCTGTTTCCCACTAACTTCCCTATACCCTTTTCCTAACCCAACCTAATAAATAGGCTGGATCGTAGACTCGTCCATACCAGTTAGTTTTGAAAGTTAAAATTGCAAATAATCAGTAATATGTTAAAGAATTTAACTGGCATAAGCCTGGAAAGGCCTTGTTTAGAGAATAGCCGGCTCTATAACCCTGGCTGGTGAGCACTCCTAGAAACATTAAGTTTTCTGGTCTAAGTAACTACAGCGGTAGTTGGGTTAAAATGTTGTGTCGTGGGTTGTTTGTGTAGTTGTGTTTACTCTTATGTTAATGAGTTGGATAAAGGTTAATGTAAAAAGGGGGCAAGTAGACTGGTCATGCACAGGGGTGACTGAGTAATGGATCGACCCCAAGTGAAAGCTCGTGCGGCTTCTCCAGAGCGAGTGAGTAGCGTTCAAAATTTAAACCAATGCGCTGAGCACACACATTATGCTTGTGACTAAGTGGACATAAATGATAGCGTTCGGTAAGGCCTATGAATGATATAGTAAAATTAAAATCATGAGTTTAAAATTTGTTGACAGTCTGCTGGTCCGCGATGTGTAATTAAATCATTACGAAAGTGGAAAATGCAACCGTAATTTTTTGTTGTTGTTGTTAATTTATTTTTTTTATTTGTGAATTGGGCATTAATCCAATTCGATTTACTGATGCTGTGTGCTGGGGTTAAGTGTTTGATAAGGATACATTTTAGGTGTATGTTAGGTGTTAGGGATACATGTTGTATCACCGTTGGGATTAATAGGCGTTAGGTTGTTTAATGTAGAGACATAAATTTAATGAGACATAATGAATTTGCGTGAAATGTTTTTTTGTTAAAACTTAGTATGAGGGGTTAAGTTTTATTAAGTTATATTACCTTTTATGTTGTTGTATCTTGCAAATTTTTACTGTGGATTCTTTTTGTTTAATACGGTAATTTTGTGTACACACACAAACACTCCGGGTGTTTTGTTTTGTATTTAGTTTTGTTTTGTATTTAGTGCAGTAAGTGTTTTTTTTTGGTTGTCGTTATTGTTCTGATTGATGGTCAAGTGGACCATGTAGTTAAGTTTTTTTGTAGTAATTTACTTAAGTAATCTTTGTAAATTCGGAAGGACTATTAATCGTAATGTGTTGGAAAATTGTTTAGTAACTTTTGTTATTGTATTCGAAGAAAAGAGTAAGAGACGTATTATCAAAATTCGAGGGGGGTTTAAACTTTTGGGAATAGATAAAATTTAAATCCGCCCAAGCCACATGACAGATACCTTCCAAAAACCTTTCCAAATCTTGACATAACTTGGAGACAGAGAAAGCTACGTCGACAGAATTTGTACAATGTACTTCAGTAGATTGAAGCTGCGGCAGAGGGCCCAGTTGGAAGGGCAGACTGCATGCCGAGGACGGCATGAACTTGAGGTGGGGGGAGTGTGACGGCCTGGCATATTTGCCTCATTTTGTTGTAATTTGTTAACTCTGAGCTTAAGCTGATTGGCCTTACTCCCTAAACCTGGCCCTCTGGCTATCACCGAATATTTGCTAGGTTGATGTGTCAACCGTATTTAGCAATATTGAATTTTATTTAACTTCATATAAGTCTCCACGTGAACCTTGAAACTCATACTCCAATTCATTTCATTACTTTGTAACCCTACAATAATCCTAACCAGACGTCGTGGCTTGGCCGGATATGCCTTGGAATGTGCTGAATCTGCATGCACGTGTGCCGCGATAAACAATGTTACACTTCTAGACTCGGTTCCTCGCTTCAGTTAGTTTCATTAATGACAGTTGTGATCGTTTGGCTGCAGCACCAGACGGGCGAGTAAATTATGGGCTGAGCGCTCAGCGTGTGCTGATTGGCCGATGACGGTCATGTGACCACGCTGACGCTTCCGCTTGGGCGATGCTGAAGCCTCAGATCGTGCCGGAATGTAGCGAACGTCGGTAGGGTCCGCGCGGGCGGTCTCCCCTTTCTTTTACTCTTACTCCTTTCTTCTGTAAATCCGTGTACGTTTTTAAATTCATTATTGTAATTCGTATTTTATTCGGTTAGTCGCGATTTGTTTTGTAAATTGTAATGTGTTATTTGTAATCGATGAAATTGTTAAAGATTAATTTTTTTAAGTAATAAAGTGTTAGCTGATCCCTATTCGCTTGTTTTAATATTCGTTCTTCCTGCTCCCAACCGCTACGAAGACTAGAAGAGAGGCTGCTGTGACATATGTTTGTGACAAGTAAACACAAAAAATACTGGTCGGGTTGGGCTGAAATTAGGTGTGATGATAGCTCACATTTCCGATTAACATATTGCATTCTTATCTATAAAGTCCTTTCGGGCTCCGCCCCAGTGGCTCTGGAGTTTCCCATATTAACCTTATGAGTAATCATATTTAGAAGGAATAAACGAATTTTTCCTACAGTTACCTAACAATGTACAAGTTCTCTCACTGATTTGAGAAAGCAAAGTGGCCAATTCGCTCATCAGTGAGACAATGTTAACATTGTCTCACTCTAATTACTTTGTCTCACTCCAGATCTGCAACGTGAAGGCACGAAATAGTGAACGCGTAACATGTAGGCAACGTCGTATGCGCGCGAAATACGTTGGCAGCACTGGCTGTAAATCAGCTGGTCAGCTTTTGTACTCTTGTATTTGTCACTTCACATTAAATGTTATATTAAAAGTTCACTTCTGTGGAAAAATAGGTTATATTTCTTCACCAATTTATTTGTTTTATGGTAACTGTAGGAAAAGTATAATGTGCAACTCGAGTTCACAATTGCCTCACTCGAGAAACCATTCCTCACTCGCCTAGGGCTCGTGAGTAAGGATTTCTCTCGAGTGAGTCAATTGCTCACTTTTCTCACTTGTTGCACAAATAACTATTGTCAACTGTCAGCTGTTTCAACTACACAAGTTAGTTCTATGATATTAAATAACATTAACAAGTTATAAGGTTTACCAACAGGGTGCAGTACTATTAATAGCATGGTGGAAGGAAAAAACAATTAATAGTTTAAATTGATGACCACAGCTAATTTGAACCAAGCAGCAACAAAAAGCTGTGATACAAAATGAGAACTGTCAAAGTAGGATTTTTACAGAATCATGTTTATGTTTTTAATTTATAAATAAATTTTGATAGGCCTATTGTGGGAATAAGGCATTTAATTTTTTAAGTGCATAGTTATTGACTTTCTTTTTTCCTATTTGTTAACAAACTAAACATCCTATTGTGTTTGTATGGTTATTTCCCAAAAAAATGATGTTTGGGAAACCAGCCAGTTAATACTTTTAGTGGATCACTAAAAGTTTATCTACTTACAGGAAATCTATGGAAAATGATTATTCTCTTTAGCGTCCTCTTCCCGAAGCACGGTTATGACTGCTAGTTTACAATATAAATGAGTACTACAACTGTACTATCATATTAATCTATGGTAGCAATTTATTTATACTATGTTGTATTTACCAATTACACCTCTATGGCACCAGTCAAAACATCATGCTTCTGACGTGTACCTTCTTACGTTTCCTACTTGAAATTTATTATTATTTTGAGGTTTACGCTCTTCGTCCCTGTCAGACGGTCGTTTTCACTGGTGTAAATTTATCTTTGGACTGGGTTGAAGTAAAATAGTTTACCATTTACGGATCATGATGGAGATCTGTTAAAGAAGCACTGGGCTGAGTCTGAGAGTGCTAATGCTAACGTGTACTGTCTCTACTAACTGTCACTGTGTAGTAGTTTTTGGATTGGATTGGCTTGGCATCGTCTGACGTCTGTAGTAAATTTGGTTTGGTGCTGAACTGAACTGAACTGAAGCTCGTGTTAACTGAAACAGAAACACGGGGTCCGGGTGTAGTAGAAACATTTCTGCTTGTCTATCTTAAAAATAACGCTAACCTCTTTCAAGTGAATGAGGATTCTATAAAATATTTTTTAAATATGAATAACTTAAGTGCACTGATATCTGTTTTGTTAGTATTATTTACTTTCACTTTAAGATCGACGCTTGCCTTGTATTTTCACATAGGTGAGACTGAAAGGAAATGTTTCATTGAAGAAATTCCGGATGAAACAACTGTTCTGGGTAAGGATAGGTAGGCCTACTTGGTCTGTGCCACTTTTACATTTTTTGTTTTAGCCAGTAACCAGTAGGGAGTCGCCCGTATGCACCGATGGTCAGGTATTAGTCCCACCCTACAGTAGGCTATAGCCTACGATTACGCTTAGGCTTACGTTTAGCCCTTTCTGAGGGGTTACCGATTGCTCCGATGGTCAGTAGGCCTACCACTGGTCAAGTAAATACTAGCTAGGCTAGTAAGGCCTATAAGTTACAAATTAAACTAACATATAAGTTAGCTTTAAAAATGAGCACAATTTTCTGATTTTAGTCTATTAGGCTAGCGAATTTACCTATAAGTTAGGGGTACAGTTTCTTAACTGAGCTTAGCTAATATTGATTGAAAATATCACTTTGAGTGGTAACATCTGTTTATTTCACTATCAGCTAGTTTGGTTAACAGGATAGGTTGGGTTATAAGTTAAGTTTCATAAAAAAAATCAAACGAAGGTAAGTTAAGTTTATAAGTTAAGTTACTAATCGAATTGATATTTTCAATTGATATTAGTGTAGCCCAGTTAACCCTTAGAGTGCCAGGCGAGAAATAAAAGTAACGCTCAAAAAATGCCGATGATTTTTCCCGAAGGTCGGGCTAAAAATGCCGAGCGCGATCTGGCGATTTTTAGGTTAAAATTTCGTAAAAATCGAATTTTCGATATTTCGACCAACGAAAATCGATGTATCGCATCTAGTAACTTTCGACTCAATGTTAATATATGGGTTAAAAGAATCCGAGTATCCATTCGGTTGTTATGACAACTGTTCGATCATTACGAAACGTCCGGTCAGCCGGACGTTGGCACTTTTGGCTCGTTTTAAAAACGTCCGGTCGGCCGGACGTTGGCACTTTTGGCTCGTTTTAAAAACGTCCGGTTCCCCGGACGTTGGCACTCAAAGGGTTAAGGGTAAGTTAAACCTGTTAACTTTAGGGTCAATCCATTTCAAGTGGTCCAGAGGTGGTTGCTTCAAGATTTTTAATTTTTTTCATATTTTTATCCTTGAAAGTATATATGAAAGTACAAAAATACAATTATTTTTTTTTTATTTTATTTTTCTACTGTATGGCGGCCATTTTTTTGTTACTTGAACGGCCGTTTTCAGCGATTTCAGAGCTCTACGTAAAATTAAATATCTCTGGTTCTACTATTCCTAGAACATTAAAATAAAAACCAATCTCATCAGAAAGATCTGAACTTTAATATGGTAATATATTGATGCACTTAAAACTAAATATATAGGTCTAATTACCAGTTTAAATTTAACGCAACGATGTTACAAATACTGATTTTAAACAATTTATTTAAATATAAAGGCAATTGACTATGTGTTTGTTATTTTTTTATCTGATGGTTATAGGTGTGTACTCCAAATTCTCAGTTTCAAGTAGTGGACTTGCATAGGGGCTTAAATAAAAATTGTCAAAATCTTAAAATTTTCAAAATTTCAAAAGTTTGATGCTCAATATTTTTGTTGGGCATGAAAATAAAAATTTCAAATTTGGCTCAAATATAGTACTAAGTAAGAGTATTATGCTGTAAGAATTTTATTTTGTGGACTCAACTGGTTTCAAAGTTATGAAACACTGAAAAATACTAAATAAGCATTATGGCCGTAATAGCGTAGGAAGCATAATGTTATATTAGCCTATTTTATTATTTATTATAACTCACTATCAATGTATTTTTTAACAATGTTATATTTTAATTATATATTTTAAGCATTTTGATGTTTTAAAACAATCTTTGTTGTCTGCCACAGGTACAAATCTGTGAGAGGATTGTGTTCAGGGAATTGGTAGACGTCCTTTGAGTCGTAATTGAAGTTCTAATTTAATTTTTTTGCTAATTCTTTGCTGTCTACATAAAAGTATTGAATTCCTTTAAGGGCTTGTTTTAACAAAAGTTAAACATATCCTTAGAATTCAAAATTTGGTTGTCTATGGTACATTTTAGACTCTATTAGTGACATCGCTCTTTGTAGTGCCTCCTACACCGTCGGAAAATATTGACTCCACTTTAAATGTACCGTATAGAAATGGATTTTATATTAATATTGTATTGGTTTTCAATGCTATGTGTTTTATTTTCAATCCTTTTTGTATATGTTCATAAATCTAAATTTGAATTAATAATACTGTACATGTTATCTTTTACATGTCTTATACATATCTTATACATGTCTGACATGTTATCTTATGGGACGTCTGGCACTAAACAACCCTACTTGCGACGTTGCAAACTCTATGCGGCCTGGAGTTAAAGGTGGCTGTGGCTATACAGTATCATAAAATGATTTCTTACAGAAATATTCAGTCACAGGTACTACAATACCAGCTGCGAGGCATTTTTTGCTACTGCGCAAGGAAAAAATTCCTGCAATGGTGTAGGGAGGCACTACCAAGAGCAAATTCACTAATTAGGCCTAGTGAATGTAATTAGTAATGTACCATAGACAACCAAATTTTGAATGATAAGGATATGTTTAACTTTTGTTAAAACAAACCCTTAAAGGTATTCAATACTTTTATGTAGACAGCAACAAATTAGCAAAAAAATTAAATTTGAACTTAAATTTCGACTCAATAGACGTCTACCAATTCCCTGAACACAATCCTCTCACAGATTTGTACCTGTGGCAGAAAACAAAGAGTGTTTTAAAACATCAGAATGCTTAAAATATATGATTAAAATAACAGTGTTAAAAATACATTGATAGTGAGTTATAATATAACATTATGCTTCCTACACTATTACGACTATAATGCTTATTTAGTACTTTTCAATGTTTCATAACTTTAAAACCAGTTGAGTCCACAAAGTAAAATTATTACAGCATAATACTCTTACTTAGTACTATATCTGAGCCAAATTTGAAATTTTTATTTTCATGCCCAACAAAAATATTAAGCATCAAACTTTTGAAATTTTAAGATTTTGACAATTTTTATTTAAAACCTTATGCAAGTCCACAGCTTGAAACTTTGAGAATTTGGAGTACACACCTATAACTATCAGATAAAAAAATAACAAACACATAGTCAATTGCCTTTATATAAAAATAAATTGTTTAAAATCAGTATTCGTAACATTGTTGCGTTAAACTTTAAACAGGTAATTAGACCTATATATTTAGTTTTAAGTGCATCAATATATTACCATATTAAAGTTCAGATATTTCTGAAGAGATTGGTTTTTATTTTAATGTTCTAGGATTAGTAGAACCAGAGATATTAAATTTTACGCAGAGCTCTGAAATCGCTGAAAATGGCCGTTTGAGTAAAAAAAAATGGCCGCCATACAGTAGAAAAATAAAATAAAAATAAAATAAATGTATTTTTGTACTTCTAATAACATACACTTTCAAGGATAAAAATATGAAAAAAATTAAAAATCTTGAAGCAACGAATTAATTTATTTCTGGACCACTTGATATGGATTGACCCTTTAGGATCGTCGTGAAACTGGCAATAGATCAGCAATAATTCTGCCCCCATCTCATACCGCCCCTCCGACGATCACACGTCACAGTAAAACGTCATAACTAGGTTGATATGACCTCAAAATAATCAGTGGCAGGAAATTTGTTTCTTCTAAACGCGGCCAAAATGTCATTTGGCGGTTCCTGCACAGCGTTGAGTATAATACTCTCTGTATACTCTCAGATATATATATATATATAAGCAGCAAGGCAATAATTCATTTATGCAGTTTTACACATAGGCCTATATATTGGTTAGAGAACTATATATAGGCTCTCTAACCAATATATAGGCCTATGTGTAAAACTGCAAAAATAAATTATTGCCTTGCTGCTTCTATTATGTTAGTCACATAGAAAAATACAAGGTAGGCCTATATATATATATCATTATAAGGGCCACCTCGATTATAACATAGGGAGTGCCTAACTTAGCTTGAAAGAGATCCAATGATAGAAAAATTACATAAAATAAATCTTATGCTGGCCATTTCTTAAATCCCTACCAATTTTATTTCGATTTTATTATTTATAGGCTCTTTGTTAATTACATAGGTTGGCTATTAGTGGATTCAAGATGGCGCATTGACTAAACTTTTCTTAATGTGCGGTAGGGAAAAAGTACGAATTAAAGTATTTTTAGTCATTGCGTAGTTGGAAAACTATTGAAATCAAATCAAAAAAATGCAAAACTGAAAAGCGGAAGAATAAAAAAAACTAGAACGAAACCATTATGATGCAAGAAACGGAGACCGAAAGTGGTTTTTTTTTGTCCTAGGACGCTAGGCACGAGCCTGGGATCGTTTTTCTCATTACTTCAGGCTAGACCTAGGGGTTGCGGCATTATCACTTAGATAAAATCCATTGGTGACTTGGTGGGGATCGAACCCGGGACCTCAGGGACTGAAGTCCCGCGCTCTAACCACTACGCCAGCTCGCTCCCGAAAGAGGTGCAGTCATCAACGAGAATGATTAGTCATGTGCACCGTGTGCGGTTTGTGAATCAGTTATACCTGGAGATGGTTGTGGATTGTTTTGTGAAGGTTTTTGTGGACAATGGTAGGCCTATCACCCAAATTGCATAAAAATTGATCTGGACATTTATAATGGTATTTATTTATTATTTATTTATTTATTTTACCTTCCAACGGTCAAGAACCAATTTACAATATGTTGTATAGATGACTTAATCTGACTTAAACATAAACATACAAAATAATTTTTGACAATGACATGCAGTAAGTAAATACAATTTGATTTGAGCAGTATCGAAATAGACGTACACAAAGCAGAACTTTAAATAACAACCGATGAACAAGAACAACAAATAAGAATAGTAGGCCTAAGTGAAAAAATAAATGAACGACAAACAATAAATAAATGAGTTTCAACAATAACAATAAATATATGAGTTTTAAAATAACAATAATATATGAATTTCAACGATAACAGTAAATATAATTTCAACAATACAAAGAAAACAAGATTTG